ATTGAGAGCCTTCCCCTTCTTCATTGACCCTTCACTTCACCAAGCATGATATCCTGCAGGGAATGTTTCCTTCTGACAACACGACCAAAGGAGGTGAGATGAAGTCTGGTCATTTTCACTTCCAAGGAGCATTCTGGCTGCACTTCCTCCAGGACGTATTTGTTAGTCCTTTTAGCAGTTCATGATACTCAGCATTATTCTCCAACACCACAACTCAAAAGCATCAACTCTTCTTCGGTCTTCCTTATTCATTGCCTAGCTCTCACATGCGTAAGAGGCAACTGAAAATACCATGGCTTGGGTTAGGCACACCTTAGTCTTCAAGGAGATATCTTTGCTCTTCATCACTCGAAAGAGGTCCTCTGCAACAGATATGCCTGATGCAATATATCATCTGATGCCTTAAATGCTGCTTCCATCAGTGTTGATTGTAGAGCCAAGTAATATCAAATCCTTGACAACTTCAATCTTTTCTCCATCCACCATGAAGCTGTTTACTGGACCAGTTGTGAGAGTTTTTGTTTCCTTTATATTGAAGTGTAATCCATACTGCAGACTGTAGTCTTTAACTTTCATTGGTAAGTGCTTCAAGTCATCTTCACGGTCAAGCAAGGTTGTATTGTCGCATATCGCAGGTGGTTAATGAGTCTTCCTTCAATCCTGATGCCACGTCCTCCTTCATATAATCCAGGTTCTCAGATTATTTGTTCAGCATACACATTGAATAAGTATGGTGAAAGGATACAACCTTGACACACTCCCTTCTTGATTTTGAACCACGCAGTATCCCCTTGTTCTGTTCGAATGACAGCCTCTTGATCTATGTACAGGTTCCTCATGAATACAATCAAGTGTTCTGGAATTCCCATTCTTCTCCATGTTATCCACACTTTGTTAAGATCCACACGGTTGAATGTTTTTGCATAGTCAATAAAACACAAGTAAGCATCTTTCTGGTATTCTTTGCTTTCAGCTAAGATCCATCTGACATCAGCCCTGATATCCCTTATTCCATGTCCTCTTCTGAATCCAGCTTGCATTTCTGTCAATATACT